GTACCTTGTCAGCCGTGTGCGGGGACCGTGTGTGCAGCATCCGTGTGTCGTGCCTGTGGTTAGCGTGTGTCGGCTCCGTGCTGTGCGAGCGCGCAGGACACCGCCAGCAGCCGTCTCGCCCAAGGGGGAGCTTTGAATTCTGTTCCTCGTGTTTCTGTGGGCTCCCTCTTGCAAAGCGGGAAACCGTGTAAACAGCTGGCTTTGCACAGTTTCGCCCCCGCCGTGTGTCGTGCTGCCCTCTCTGTGTCGGTCCGTAGGCTTTGCCCGGCTGAGGTTGCACAGTGCCTTTGCAGAGGCACTTCGGGCGAGTTGGAGGAAACGCTGATGGTGCCCTGAGATTTTGTCACTTCGGTGGCAGCCGTGGGTGAGAGCAAACCTAGTGGTCCATACTGCAGTGTGGCAAGGACGGCAGCCAGTTGTTCAGCAAAGTATTTGAGAGCAGCTGTAGATTTCTCCTCATTCTGTCATTTCTCCTTGGAACATTTCTGCCAGAGAGGGGTCATTTTGGCCACCGAGCATCAGAAGTATTTTAAATCTGAAGTACACCATGAACCTGTTTCCATTATTCCAAAGCCAAACATTTTAGGAGCTAAAAAAATCGTCTTCCTCTAGGAATTAAAAGACAAGCAAATAATGAGGATTTGACTGGATCTGCAGAACATTTAAATTTTTTACAGGAAAACAATTATAATTTTTTTCAGCCAGAACTGTTGTATCCATGTGTGCTCCAGTTTGTTGTTGTCATGGTGACTAATACATGTTACCATAACCAGGCATGAGGCTTAACAGGTGAAAAGTTATAAGATGTGGTCCTTGTTAAAAATAACTACATTCAAACCACTCAAAACCAGGCCTTCTTGGCTTTTTCTTCCTTTTAGCGCAGAGGCTTTTTAATGTGACATTTTTATAAAAAGACAAGGGAGGTGTTAGATTTTTATAGCAGATTTATTGAGGTTACTTCTTAGCTGCAACTATCTCTACATCCAGGTGCCTTTAATATGAGTCAAATATACTTCTCAGAGAATGGATGAGATAGGAAAATGTGCGGCAATTGTAGAAAAAATTGTAAAGAAAATAATAGCTGTAGTCTGCTTCTTTAGCTCATTTGACATCAAGCATCCGACCCTTTCTAGAGCACTAAGTGCATTTCTGCCCATTTTTGGGGTTAGGAAACCCTGCAAGAGCACAAGGTATTGGTCTTTAAGGCTATTAAAAGTTGTCATTGCAAAAGGATTGAATCCTTAACAACTCTGACACCTGCCTTGAGACCATTTTATGATTATAAATTCTTTATCTGCAAGATGTGTAGCAAAAAAAAATCTTCTTTTTCAAGTTGACTGAGGCCAAAGAGAGGAAAGGTTCTAGTTACAGTCATAGGGAGGTTAGAATACTAAACTGCAGGCAGTACAGAAAAAAACATGTGATAAATTGCACAGCTGTCTGATGAGCTGTAAAGTTAGATGAGGAAGAAATTATCTCTTGCCTTTCTACTTCATCAGAGAGATAAATATCTCCATCCGTATATTGTGTCATAAAAAATACATAAGCTTAAATGTTTGATTATTTCTTATAATTGCAAATTAAATATTCAAACCAGAAAATCCTTATCCTATCATATCTATTTTTAAAACTTAAATCAAACATTATAGTTGGTCTTGCACAGCAATTTATTAACATTTCTGTACTGCTTGAGAAGTGTATTAGGTGCTTATGAAGGACCTGAATCTCAATATATCACCCATAAATTGTTCCACATCAACTCCTCAGATTTATGACTAGTAATTAATATTTTTCCACCATGGCTTGAGCCTTGTGGTTTCAAGTCCTCTCCAGGTCAAAGATGGTCCTATTTTGTATTTTACTTAATGTTAGCTGTCATCATCACATCCTAAATCTCAGAATTTCAGTATCTGAATAGAGCCAGTTAGATGAGAATTCCCTTTCCTCTTGGTGAGGTTTTTAGACACAGATTTATGAATGTATTTAGATCTCTAAATCCTGTTTAAAAGTGTTTCTTCCCTAAAAAAAAAAAAAAAAAAGAAAGGAAATTGCATGGTGAATATGTAATAGGGATTACACTTCTAAACATCTTCATGGATCTGGGCTTTGGAGACCACCTTGTTACAGCTCAGTCTAGATAGGTTGTGAATACTAACAGTAGTACTGTTTAAAAGTCTAAGGAGTTTGGTAAGAAACTTTTGCTGAATATTAAAAAACACCAGTGATACAACTGTAAAATAAAATTTTGACTATGTATAATATCTTGTCCATTCATCATAATAACCTATATCTATTTGTTTAATTTTATGCACTTTTCTTAGTAGCTGCTCTTTCTACAAGACACATGGAAGTACATAAATGGTCTCCAGAGGCAGTAGTCTGTCAGGAACAGCAGAAATCTTGTATGTCTGCATTCCCCTAACCTCAGCTCTATTGCATGTGTAGAACATCCTAGAGATATATATAGAAATCTTGGCAATTCTGTTTTGTCTAATTTAAAAGGAGTAGGTAGTAAGATGATTTTATTTATAGAGCATTCAATGGATACAAGCATGGTCTCCACACAGTCCCACTCTTAAGTGTCTCATACACAAGTTTTATTAGCCTGGTTGAAGCTTATTTCTCATTTCTTTATCAAACTGAGCCAAAACAAGAGTTAATCATTGTTCCCCTTTTCCTGCCCTTTATTTACAGACAGTAATGCCGTTCTCTATGCTTTTCATACTTAATGTGCAAAAGGGAAACAAACTGTAAAATTATGTACTCACTTTACTCCTTATGAACCCTGCTTAATTTGCCAGTGCTATCCCTTTCCTGCATGTGAGGAAAGCCACCTGCTGAGCAGTGCAACAGAAGGGTTTGGAGCACTACCCCTGGTCACTTGTTCAGTAGGAGTTCTGTTCCTGCCTCATGGCCATCCCTTGAGAGAAATGGGTGGTCAAAAGATGTACTTTTGTAGCTTTTTTATCCTGAATTTACTCCCTGTCCACACAGAAACCTTTTGCTAAATGGCCAGGATGTGCCTCCTGAGCTCTGCTTCCTTACACAGAGCATGCAGGAGTGTGTCTTTATTAGGGAGGAAAAAAAGAACTAAATCAAGTGGTCTGTTAGCTGTGGCCTTGGACAGTTCATAAGAGACAGCTGAGCACACTGTGAGAATTTGTGATAGGTGCAATCCATCTTCTCTTGTTGTGAAAGACAGATTCAGCTAATAAGGATGCAGATCCTCACCCCTTGTAATATGCTGGAAATCTTATTTTATGAGAAGAGCTGCCTCATAAAGAAATCAGATTCCCCCTTCAGATTAAATAAGATAGAAAGTTTTTATGCATTAGCAGCCAGAAGGATTCACTTTTGTGGATACAAACTGCCAAAAATTGGAGTAATTTCTCCTGCTGCTTTCCTTTCAAAATCTGATGCTGAAGTCATATCCATGGCATATAGGCAACTTAACTAGGCAAAACAGAAATTACAGTACTGTGTAATTGGTAGAATTGCTAATGGTGCCACCAGTAACTAACTAGGTTCGATTTGTTTTATGATGTTCTCTTGCTTGAAGTTGTCATATTGGCAGGGTAATGTTGATGTTTCCAGATTTATCTCTTGCTTTTCATTGCAGAGCTGTGCAAACGCGTGTCATTTTGTTATTTTGTGACACATGAAAATGATGTACTTGTTCTGTTTACTCTGTCCTGACTTAATTAGTAAGATGTGATAGATTGCAAGACTTTGAATGTCTTTGATAAGATTTTTTTTTCATGTGTTTTTGATGCTTAATTTATTTTTGCTATAAAAGTCTAAACTTCTAGCCATGTTCTGTGTGAAATGCTGATAACAATTCCTTGTTAGTTTCAACATATATTTTAACAATATGACATACATAGAAAATACACAGAGATAAGTAAGGTAAAGAAAGAAGTAACGTAATCCAAACTAAAATAATCATATAGGAAAGGGTAAAATAGGTTGAGAGAGAATGGGCAGGAGAAGAAGGAGGATCAGGAAAGAAAAGTGTAATTGCAAAAAGACAGAGTTGCAAGAAGAGCGGATTTGAGAGGCAGTCCAGACCAGAGAGGATAGGAGAGAAGTCAGAGTGATGGCAGAGGGAAGAGGGCTTAGGAAGAGGAGAAATCCATGTGTGGGTAATTTGCAGCATGGATCTGCAAGGTAGAAGGAGCCCCTAAGGAGGGAGAGGTCAGCTCAGGTCCTATGGAGCCATGACCAAATGGCAAGTGAGACCCAGACCAGCACTGCCAGGCTGGGGACATTCCTGCACTGATGCCTACACTGGCTCTTTTGGAGGGAAGTGTGCTGCAGAGGGATTTGGCAGCAAACTGCACTCCTACCTATGTTCTCTGAGAGCTTTGAGGAAAGAAGGGAGATGACAGCTCAGAAAGGCAATCTCCTGTATCAATGAGAATGATGAATGTGGAAGGGCAATGTGAGTACCTCCACAGTGAGGCATCAAGAGAAGGTGATCAAAGTAAATATTCGTAAAGAGATTAAAGAATGCCTCATGTGTTTGAAGAATGTATAATAAGTCTTCAGATCAAAGCAAAGTCTCTGTTATTTAGCCATTTAAGAAAGTTAGTTATTGATTATATGTGCCGGATAATGGAAGGTGTATTAACTGTGCAGAAATCTTGTAAAACACACATCAGAATTTGTGAAAGTCATTTTTGTGCTTCTAATTATTTTTTTCAAGTGCTCTCATCCTATTATATGTATTGTAAACACTTATTTTTAAGGAATGTTTCCGGTGTCTAATGATTTTATTCTCAAAGCAGAGATTTAATTAAAGCCTCATTAAACACTACAGTAGATGACATTGAATTATAATTTAAATAATGAAAAATGTAGGAGTTGTGTTCCCTTATTTTAGTAATATGGCTCTATGTGTAGAAAATAAATACTTGTTAATTGAGCACAACAGTGGAGGGCTACTTTATAGTGAATTTTCCTGCACATACTCTTATATCTTGAACAACTGTGATTTTCAGACAGGAGACTGGGGAGAGCCTTCAATTACCTTGCGACCTCCAAATGAAGCCACAGCATCAACGCCTGTACAATATTGGCAACATCATCCAGAGAAACTCATCTTCCAGTCATGCGATTATAAAGCATTTGTAAGTGTTGATAAATATGGTGGTTTGATTTGGGGTAGATATATTAAACTTGGATTTTGATAGGCTGTTGTGTTTTAATTTCATTTATAATATTTTTTCATTCACTTTTAGAGAGACAGTTCACTACTTCTGAAATGCTGTAATTGTAATAAATGAGAAACAAGGATGCACAGTACTTTTTTGTTATGAATTGTGTGATACACTGCAGTCCATGTGGCATTAGTGTTAGAAAAAGAGTAAGTAGCTAAGTGTTGTTGAAGTGACAGTGAAAGCAAATGCCCATAGTTTTCATCTCTTACAAAATAGCAGTTATGAAAGAATAACAAAACATAATATGGGATCCTCATACCTACCTTAATGCTGTGTGCACAGCACTTAAAGTAAGTGTTGCCTCACCTGAACTTTATACAAGTGTTTTGGGAAAAGGAAATGGAGAAAAAGGAGGTGAAGGTCCCAAGTGTTTTCCATCTATGGAACAAGGGCACATTCAGACCTCTCCCAGCCTGATGGCTGCTTGAAGTACCCATAGCGTCAGATCCATCAGGGCAGGCCATACTTATTTTTACCTCCATGTGGCTTCAGGCAGTTACCACTTCCCATCCCTGGAGAAATGAATCTTCCCTCTACAGCTAAGCAGAATTAGTCTTCTCTGGCTGTTATAAATGTTTGTGGAGGAGAGAAAGGTCTCCCACAGTACAGAAAGTCATTGGAAGGCTTTATTTTTTTTTAATGAAAAACAGTTTTCTGAAATTATGAGTTCCCTGTCAACAGGGGTGGGGGAACTGGAGCTTCTGGGGAGCTTCAGCCCACCTTTTTAAATGCTCGCATTTCCCCTTCTGACTAAGGTGTAAAGCATTGTTGAAGCTGCTGAAGGTGCCTGCCAGCCCACTGTGTATCCTCTCTGGAGGTGGCCACCTTATGGCTGGCTTATGTACAAAGGAAAGGAGCTCAGTAGTTGCAGCGACTTTAGGATGATAGCTGGGGATTAACTGCTGGTCCAGGACGTGGGGTTGAGATCCTCTTCACTTGAAGGGCCTTGGATCTTTGGTGCTTTTTAGGATAATGCTCTGTTTGTTAAATTCTGCTGCATTTTGGGGAACAGTTGGAGGTTGCTGAGACAGAGCCTGGCTTCCACTGAGGAGGGGCAGAAGGAGTGTTACAGACTTGTCTTTCTGGAGCACATCTGTATCTTCCATCAGACCCTCATGGGGTTAAAAACTGCCATGCATGCAGTGATCATCCCTGGACAGTAACTAGAACTTCTGCCTTCCTCAGCAAGATGGTCAAGGACCATCTCACTGCTCTCAGCCTTGCTCTCCTGCTGTTCAAAACCTCCTTGCTCACTTCAGATTGAAAAGGAAGGTTAGCAACTTCTAGTTCTTGAAATATTTTTTGTAGTTCTCAGTGAAGTGAACATGTTCATCTCAAGTGCCTTTTCTCTTTTTACATAATCCAGCAGGAAATTCATAATCTAATGTAAACTTTCTAGTAGATTCAAAGATGGATCATTAAAGAAATGAAATTGGAATAACCAGGAATATCCAAGTTAGTGGTGATTGAGGAAAGACCTTCCTTTCCTAAGGACCATGTGTCATCCCTTTGTTTCAGTTCCTTGAGCTGTACTGACCTCAGCTTTATAGAGTAAAACCCGGGCTTGTAAGTTATAATTGGGGTAGCTTTTACTCTATGCCACATCAATCAGTTAAACTGTTGGATGTGTATTGCTCCCACATGCCCTGGGTGTTTGAGAAGGACTGTTTCCAAAAGCACAGAAAGTCAAAAGGAAGCAAAATTTCTTCCAAGTGTTTCAGATTTTTCTGACAACTAAATTGGATGGTACTGCTGTGATTTGTGTGTCTATTCCACAGTCCACCTTGGGAAGCATTTCTGAATGCCTTCAGCTGAGGCTTTTTGCTGCTGTGCAGATGGGACAGGTGCTCTCCTTCTCTTTCTTCCGTTTCTGCAGTAAGCAAAAAGCACTGCTTTTTTACTGTGGTGCCTGACCAACTAGTAGCTTTCAAGGAAAAAACAATTTATTTTACTGTAGTCTATAAAAAAATTAGAGAAATAAAACCAAACAACCCCCAAAGCAAAACAAAAAACACTCAACCATTCATCCAAACAACTAAAAAACTGAAGACATTAATTGCAACCTGCCCAGAGAAGGCTAAGGATTCCAAACGTGTCAAGACAGCAGGATTCGGAGAAAAATACAGTTAGGTTCAATATGGTTTTGTTTACTCTTCTAATTTCAGAGCTTGCTCTAAATATGTTGTTTTTCTTCAAGGGCAACATCAAACTGTCCCATCAAATTAATGCCCAAAGCCCTATTCACATCACTAGCAAGCCCCCAGCTGGACTCACAGCTGCTCAGTCTATGAATCTTTCACATCTGCAGTCCTCTAGGAATGCCCTTCATTCATTCCTTTATGCTTGTGCTTATCTGCTAGTCTTGATGTTGCTCACTGGCCCATTTATAATGCCCTATAAAATGTTTCTTGCTAATTGCTGTGTTGGCTCCTGTCTACATGGAAATATTTATGCATTTTCTTGCAGGTCAGGAACTCCTGCTGTACACAGTGTAAACTGAAGGCTTTAAAAAAAAAATCTCAGTTTAGGTCAGGAGACTAGACAACTGAACCAGTACACTCTGTGTTCAGTTCCAGCTTGCATTCATCTGTAACTGAAGTTCTTTTTGATACATTCTTGTCAAAGCTGAAGCTGGTTCACCATCTGGTTAGGACAGCTTAGGCTGTTTCCAAGAGGAGACATTCTGGTAGAGTGAGACAGGTCAGCAGTGGTGGGTTGCAGCATCCTCTGGAAAGTGCTCTCCACAGCGCTTTCTCTCCTCCTGCAGCCTACTTACTATATTTTCACAGTGGCATGACTTATCTTCAGCTCCCATGTTTCTCCCTTAGAACCAGAGACTTAGGAGAAGCCATGGCCTTGTGAAAATACAGAGATTAGGTGCAGGTGAAAGGGGCCTTGCTGTGCTCTCTGCTCAGTTGAGCCGGAATTGCATGTGACATCATGCAGAAATTCAGAAAGGTCCCGTTTGCACAGAGCTCTAGGAGCACATGCACACCCACAGGTGTGCACGCCTGCAGCATCTACAGGAGAAGTGCAGAGCGTGCTGTGGCTCTGGTTCAGCCCAGGTAGCCATAACAAGAGCCCTCACTGCTAGGTGGGAATGGCAGGGATGATGCAGCCTGCTCCATCCCTGGAGGAGCAGCACCATTCAACCATGGTGCAGGGGGGTACTGAGACCTCAGGGGAGCAGAGGCTGCTGTCAGGGTGCAGGAGAGCTCAAACTGTGTGTGCCAAGTGACACAGTGAGGGAGAGGGGCTGTGTCGCTGAGGCACTGCCTGCCTTGTTACCCCTGGAGATGAGCAGGCTCCTCTGAGTGATTCTCATGGTGCTTTCCAGTGAGCTGAGCCAGGAGACAGCACCCTGCTGCTTCCTCTCACACAGCCTCCTCCAGATCACTAAGGGCTTCAAAATAATAGTTCAGGGTCAGCCTTTCCTTAGGAAGAAATAATGGTTTATGCTAGTTTTAGTACAGATTTATTGTCTATCTTTGCTGACATCGGGCTCTATTTGCACGTAAATTAGTTACAGATTGAGAACACTGAGGTTAAGATCACTGCTGGCCTTCTCATCCACGTGATTGCACACATAACAATAGGAGTTTGGCAGATGGCAGCTAAAAAAAGCAAATTCTCCATTTCATAATCAATTTTTTTTAAGATGGAAGCTGTAGTATTTGTTCGTTGTTTCAGTAACTAAAATGATAAGCTAGAAGACTTTCAGATACTGCTTCAAAGAACTCCAGCTGATTCAATACACTTGTTGCTGTGCATTCTTGTTTCATGGGTTGATTAACACGTTAGTTTAAATGATTTAAAAGAACTGCAGAGTGAAAAAGATCTAAAGCAATATCTTAAGAAATTGATTGCTACCACTAGGTTTTTTAAAACATGTTTTGTGCATTTCTGCAGATGTCTGTCAGTTCTGGAATTTCAGTTAATCTAAGTTCAATGTATGTTTGTTCTAGTATTTAGGTTCTATGCTGGTAAAGGAGTTAAGAGGCACTGAGTCAACACAGGATGCATGTGCAAAGATGAGGGTAAGTTTGTAAACCTACTCCTTTCTCTATTGTAATAGTATTAAATAACTATAATTGCTTGTACTGTACCCTTTTTGCTTTTGTAATGTACTGTTACCCATTTCCTTTCCTTGCTTTTACATTGATATTCAATAGGAAATCTATTCCGTCTTATGTCTTAATTTGAAGTAATACAAAAATTTAAAGATAAATTTTTATTTTGCATGTTGTATCTAACAAAAAACCCCAAATGTTTGTATTATGTTTCCCATGAATCTTTGAGTATGTTTCAAAGTACTTCCACACAATATAAGCATGTGCATAGCCAATTGTTTTATAAACAGAATTTACAGTTTTTATATTATAATCTAGATTGAATTTTCAATGTTAAATATGTAGTAGTAAATATATAACATGTTATCAAACACATTGCTTTTTATGTATGGTCTAATCCAGCAGTCACATAATCCGATGGATAATTTTACTCACATGAGTACTTCCTTTAATTATGAGTTACTTACATGTTTTTTGATTAAAGGGTGGAATGGGGTCTAACTCAGCAGCTAGGTTTCCTTCACACTGTTAAGAATATATTTTCTTGTGGCTCTTTAGCCTGATACTGGTTTGTAGAAAATTACAGTAGTGTATCTCCAAGAAACATTGCTGCTGGAAACACAAAACAAGCCATAGCTTGATTTATTCCCAGCTGTAGTTGTAATAAGAACACACCTGTTCACAGCCATGATGAACATATAATGGGCTGGCATGATTAATTAATGAAGAAAGTAATTGTTTGCTAATCTACCAAACATGTACAATTACCTAGATGAATGAGCAAAATCTTTTCTTCTGTGTATCATATGTCTCTTATGCAAGATGTCTCTGAGCACAAGAGATGGCATTCAGATCAGAAAGCTGGAAGATGTGTAAAATTCATGCAATCAGACAACCATTTCCTGCTGGTTACATGTGTGCAGCACACAGACTTCCATGCAAACTGTTTTTAGCTAAGGGCTGGCAGTAGTTCACAATTACTAGATTTCCTGAAGATCTGAGGCTTTTCAGCTAATTACATGCTTATCATTCCTTACCTGGGCTTAAACTCCTCTGAAAAAAACCCAAAAAATTTGACACAGAGAGAAGATCTACAGTCACATACACGTGTTCTGGGGATTTAATTGAGGCATACCATCTTCCAATCCAGTTTTGAAACTGTCAGTCTTAGCAGTTCAATTCCTTAGGCATATGCCTGTGGAGAAATTAGGGCAGAATTTGGCACTGTAGTAGCATATGACAACTTCAGTAAGTTTTCTGACTGAACTAGAAGGCTTAACATCAAAAAAGGCACTCTAAATAATTTATAGGCATTTTAATATATATTTCTATAAGTAATAATGTTAGCCAATTAAAATTATACAACTGAAAAAAATGAAGTGTTTGAAAACATATGTAATTTAAAATACACATTTCCTATATAAAATAAATAATGCAGTTGTGCTAGTTTTCTATAGTGCCATACAGGACACTTACATAATACAGTGGTGGGGTTTATGTACATTTCTTTTTTACGTTCTCTTTTGAAACAATTGTTCTGTGAGAGTGTTTATTTTGTGGTTTGAGGGTTTTTTCATTGCAAAGATAATTGAATAAAACAGTTTTTTATCAGGATTTCATCTATTCTATGTAGTCCTTTTAATCATGTTCCTATTCAAGTCAAAAGCAAAAACCTTTGACTTAATGGGAACATATTTTAGCCTGTTTCCCAGTGAGAAAAATGTATATTTTTTCAAAAACTTTCTGCTTCTGGATGTCTCCTGAAGGTTGCTGTCGGCAAATTGGGAGTCCAGGTTGTCCAAAGTCATCCTGAAATTTTGTTGTGATGTTCATTATTGTATTTAAGTAACCTTGGGTTATCATTGAAAAGCTATTTTCTGTTATAGTCACGTTACTTTAAATGTATTGAAAGGTACATTTCACTTACAAGAAAAAGGAGTGAAAAGGTAGATATGTTATTTGTCTGGCTCTCAGGTGCTGAATTCTTTACACTTGTCCAGTGTCTCCAGAGTCAGCAAGACCTTTACATAGGGTTTACTATGAACAATATTTTTTATTCTAGTATTTTATTTGTTATTCCACGCACATGTTGCAAAACTATAGCCTGCTGCAATCTGGAACGTGTTGGGTTTGTTGGGCAGTATGTCACATATAAACTTGTACCAGGTGGAGGTCACTCCCCACAATTTTTTTAATCTTTCTGGACTCAGCCACATAATGGTTTTATGGAGAATGTATGCAAATTAGGTACCTAATTTTTCTATCAATGTGGCTTTTGATTCTCCATTTTTTACCTAATGCTGCTCTCAAAAGTGTTGACATTCACTGGATGTCTTGCAGTCAGCAGGTGCACAAGGATGAAAGAAGTGTATCAGTGAAAAAAAATCTTGATCTTCCTTAATCATTTATGAATACAGAGAAACGACAAAAATGACATGTTTGCTGACTGCAGATCCCTCACTGTTAGTTGTAGATGCTCCTAGGGCTTTCAATTATTGCAATTGATGGGTTTAGTTCTCAAGGGAAGTGTCATGTGGCTATCCCTTATGTCTCTCCACAGAGGCTTACAGCAGCGTCCTTCTTAGAGCTTAAAAGTGAAAGGAGATCCTAAATCTTCTATAATGTAAAAAAAAACCCACCAAGCATAAGAAGAAACAAAAGAACAACAAAAAAAAAAAACCAAAAAAACACCAAAACCAAAAACTGAGAACCTTTACCCCTTTACCTTGATAACTCTTCTTGGAAATCCACTGTGCCTCAACACTGGGGTCAAGGTTATACATGGGTTTTTTCCCCATCCAAACTTCAGATTCTTTCAACCACAGAAAATTATGGATATTTATCAAGAACTTCACTTTTCTATTCATATATTTGCTCTCCTTTGTATTTTACAGTTTCTTATTTGTTTCCAGCTATTTTCTCTCACAAATTCCCTCTCTAGTGGACAGCACTGTCTCCTTATCTCCATTCCCACCTGCTGTAAACTGACCTTTCTTACTTGGAGATTAAATCTTGCTGTCCTGGCCAGAACAGATTTATTAATTATATTGGAGAGATGCCTTCAAGAAGTTAAGAGTTCATCTTTTTCAGTGTGAAGTGGGAAATACCACAAGTTGCATTTTCAATCAGATTGCTGCAATTTATCATAGGAACATGAAGGGAGAATAAGATGTGTTTGCATCAAAATAAAGGCAAGAGTTAAATTTAAATTTGATCTAGAAAGAGACTCTCTACAGAAGACTTCATTTGGCATTTACACATTGGAATTTCTTGACCACATGGGAAGGGGATTGTTTTATACTTACTGGTATGAGCACAGCCAGAAGGTAGACCCTTTCTTTGCAGCTGTGTTAAATCACTGATGTTGCATATACCAACTGAGCAGTCTAAACCAGTCAAATATTTACTGCAGCAGAAGGGAACTTAAATTTGGTTCTTGGATCCTGCCGCCTTCTTATTATTTTTTCTTTCTTAAATATTTTCTTGTTAGGAATAGGTTCTTAAATTTCAGGTCAAAGTTCTGAGGAACCAGCTGTTCACAAAGCAGGTGAAATATCTTGCTGACTTAAGACCAAAATGTCAAAGTTGGAGTTGCTATAAAATCTGATTCTCTTATCTCTGGAGAGGAAGGTGAAGCAGAGTTGACTCACTGAAAACAGGCAGCATGTGGGGCCTTTCTTCCTCCTTTCATTTCTTATGTAAAGAAGGAACTGAATTTAGATGGCAATCTCCTTGTTTCTACTAAACCTTTTCTTACTTCTCAATCTTTGTTTCATTTTTCCTCCAAAAGTAGAAGTCTACATATGCCTTCTGGTGAAACTCCCTGGGCAAATACCATGTCAGCATCAAAGACTATTTTGAGATTTAGATTCTTCAGTCTCTGCTCTTTTGAGACCTGCAGCTCTGTCTCTCTTGTGTGGCTCCTGCTTTCAGAGGGTCTGCAGTGGAACAAGCACATGGATATTACTCAAAAGGAAAAAATTAGTAGTGGTAGGAGGTCTTATAGGCATTCAGTTTCCATGCACATCCACATCATGCTGTACCATGTGTTCAGAGAATTGTACATCCTTGAATTCTGGCTGAAAGGAATCTAAAGGGCAGGAGGAATGTTTAGAGATACTGAAAAAGAAAAAAACAGTCTCACTCTCAACTAGCTGCATTACAGGTGCACCCCAAGTGCAACATTCATATTAATGATGTAGGTTGGAGGCATCCACTTATTGTAGAGCAGTAAAAAGTTTTGTACCACGAGGATTGCAGATTTAGTTTTATTCCAAGAAGTGTTAAATTATGTCAGTAATGCATTTTTAAACTTTTTGGACTGAGAGAAGTTAGTATTTGTTAAAAGGCAGATTGTATAATTGTATGTAAAAATTTGTTAAAAGGCAAAGTGGCTTCAAAACTAACTGGTCATATGTGGACTTAGACTTTTTATTTCAATTTCATCTCATGCATGACCTTGTCAAAGTGATTCATTCAAGCTGCTCTTCCCCAGCTGGTCAAGGAAGGTGATTGTCCCACTTTACTCTGTGCTGATGCAGCCTCACCTTGAATCCCGTGTGAAGTTTTGGGCACCACACTACAAGAAGAAAATAAAGCTGTTAGAGAGCGTCCCAAGGAGGGCCATGAGAATGTTGAAGGGCCTTGAGAGGAAGCCTTATGAGGAGCAGCTGAGGATACTTGATCTGTTCAGCCTGGGGAAGAGGAAACTGAAGGCAGCTCCTGCATGCCACTCTGCAACTTCCTCATGATGGGAAGAGGAGGTGCAGACACTGATCTCTTCTCTGTGTGACAGGACCCCAGGAAATGGCCTGAAGCTGTGTCAGGGGAGGCTTAGGTTGGGTATTAGAAATAAGTTCTTCACACAGAGGGTGTTTGAGCTCTGGAACAGCTCCCCAGGGAAGCGGTCACAGCACCAGCTTGGCAGAGCTCAAAAAGCATTTGGGCCATGCTCTTGAGCCCAGGGT